GAACTAATTGGCAATATGTGCGGGTAGGGGGGCGGGTTCGGTATTGCACGTCGCGGGAGCGGGTCTTTTAAATCAGACCCGTGCAGGACTCTGATAGAGAGTACATTATTGAAATGAAAATACTATTTATTTACTTTTACAAACAGTCAGCAGCTGGGCAGCTGCAGCATGTGTATTGCAGGACATGTGTAAGCGTCTTTGAGTTTTAGAAAAGCGCTAGGCCTATATAGACCCTCCAGAAAAACGCGGGCAAAAATCCTTGATTATGCGATTAAACATGCGGGGTTTTTATGTGATTTTATGCGGTGAAATTTGCGAAAAATAATAGATTTTTTTCAAAATATTGGGCTGTCTTATTTATTCTCTCTCACACACAACCTGTTGATCCCTCGGTGAACGTGAGTTGTTTGGCTTTCTTGTCCGCAGCAGCAGAAAGCATTTTCGAATGTTTGAATGAATCAAAGTGAGTCGCCACCGTCGATTTTCTCTGAGACTTATGTTCCAACACACAGTTGCACGGGGTGCAGAATAGTTTCCCCCCACTTTCGTGAAAGACATCGAGGTACTGCTTTGCCCGGTCTTTAGCAGAAATGTTCGTCGGTAAATGAGATGGATCAGATTTTTTCATCTTGGTGTTTTCTCTCTCGTGTGAGTTCCACACGTTCACTCTACGGTGTTGTTTACCTTCTGTGATGCGCGAGCTGATGACGTCACGTCATCATCATCACTACCTCACGTCAAGACTTTGTGTGGAAAAATGCTGGGATTATGCGCCTTTTGATAAATATGCGGCTTTTAAAAAATCTGCGCCATTTTGCTGATTATGCGGTAAATTCTGCGATCGCAGAATCGTGATTTTCTGGAGGGTCTAGCATAAATGTGTCCCCGCTGTGTCAGAAAATAAAACCCTCTCTCTTTTCCTCCGTACCCACATCTCTAAAGACGGGGGTTCAACGGAGCTGATCCAGATTTGCTGCAGTCATGACGTAATATAGGAAATGTTGGCTGGCAGACATGTCGTTTATTTTTATTTTTTTATAAGGCTACGGACCCAGAATCAGCACTTTAGTAGCAGGGCTGAAATAGAGGGATATGAGGTATGGGTAGAATGGTCATCTGTTTGGTATTTTGATCGAAACACTTCATAGACATGTTTTTTATATATCTGAGACCTTTAAATGTCCCCTTTCTCCTCAGAGGGAGAAGAGACTTTATGGAAACGAGAGCACGGACCTTGAGGACAGAAAACCTGCAGCCAGAGTTTCGTCTCTGAGGAGTAAACCGTCCGATCCAAAGACCCCTCGGACCTCCAGAGACATCGTGCGGCGAGTCAGCAGCGGCACGAGGACGGACAGAAACATCAGATCTCCGATACAAGACACAAAAAAACCCAGCGTCAAAACCTCTGCTAGTCCTCCACCCAGTCCACCTCCCCACCGTGACACCAGGAGAGACTCCAGCAGGAGGACATGGGAGGCGGAGGAAGAAGAAGCTCCTCCTCCAACTCCGACTGTAAGGACATGGAGGAGTCGGAGCAGCCAATCACCTGACTCCTCTTCTCCAAAACCTCCTTCTCCCTCCTCCCCTCAAAGCTCTGTCTCTTCGTCATCTCCCGAGGAAGAACGTCGTAACAGTTTCAAACCTCCTCCGGCTCCAAAGCCCAGAATCTCCTCGGAAGAGCGGACATTTGGACTTCCCTCTGAAAAGCTTGCTACACCACCTGACTCGCCTCCACCAATCAGAGGGCTTGTTGCTCCAACTCAAACTCCTCCTCCTCCTCCAGTCGCAGGAACACCTTCTTCCCCTGATTCGTCACCATCTCCAACGAGGAAAGAGCTCCAAAGTGAGCCAGATCCTCCTGATTCTCCGTCTAATGCAACTCCACCTGACTCCCAGACTCCTCAACCAATCACAGAGGAGGAAACCGAATCAGCTGACCTCTCACCTCCAATGAGAGAGCTTCCTCCGTCTCCTCCACAACGTCAGAGGAAGTTAGAGGATCTCCCAGAGGAGGAACACGGCTCCACACAGGAGGTAAGACTTTAATCATTAACTGGCATATTGATATGGAAAGCTGATTGGTCGACACTCCTCTCACAACTGTGGTGTTGCTAGGTGACGGCAGAGCGGCCAATCAGAATGGAGGGAATGCTGGAGATCAAACTGAAACAAGGAGAAAACAAGGTGAGAAGCTTCTGACGTCAGACACTGAAACAGTGGCTGTCTCGTTGCAAAGTGTGATGGTTTGATATTCTATTTACTTTTTGATTACAAACACATACAAACAGTATGATGACGTGGCAATAATATTATACAACACACTAATTAGGGAAAAATAACTAATTGCAATTATTATGACTGCAATTACGATCTGATTCGCCATATCAGATCATTTTGTAAACATTATTCACATGATTATTATATATAAAATATATATTTAAATGATTGCGGTGTGAGGATCTGTACCCAAAGGGATTTATTTTGAAGTCCAAAGACTTAATTCTTCATTTTTTGCCTACTATTGAGTTTACCACTATTTGGATATTGCTCTGGTTCATACAGCAAGAAAAAGCAATTGGTCAAAAAGACAACCTAATAATTAGAATCTCTGAATGGATCCTTTCCTAATTTACCGTGATTTATCACCTACATACCTTAAGTGGCCTTGTGTCTGACAGGTGAGTTTTCTCTCCCTCTGATTGGCTGTTGCTCCGCAGGGTCTGGATCACTGGGAGGAAGTGTTTGCTGTTCTGGAAGAAGAGACGCTGAGTCTGTTTAACGACAGAGCCGCTGCTGCAGAGGTACGTTTACCATTGTCTTAAAGTTCACCTATCGTGCTATCTGTAGGCAATAGCATAGGTCTCAGATATATAAAGATATATAAAAAACACGTCTATGAAGTGTTTTGCTCAAAATACCAAACAGATCACCCATTCTAGCCATGCCTCATATCCCTCTATTTCACTTCCTGTTTCAAAAGTGCTGATTCGGGTATAAAGCTTTAAAAAATTAAAGAAATGTATAAAAAATAAAAAAGAGGAGGGGTCTGAGCTCATGCGGGACCCGGCAGCTACTGTCTAAACTAAATACTGCCGTGATGAAACGCCATATCATGGATTATCAAGGATTCTCTCTGAAACAGTATGGAGCTCAAAGGCTTTCTCTCTTGCCGGTTATACCACAAGGCGAGTTCCTTTTTATTTCCTGCTTCTTCACACACATGTTCTGTGCAGTACAGGTTAGCTCTGAGTGTTAGCGATGCTAATGTAAACACCGACCATATTACATCCAAAAAAGTCGGGCATTGTTTCTGATAGTGCCGTGGGTCCAAACTTACGTCATATCGGACGCAAATCTGGATCAGCTCCGTTGTTCCCCCGTTTTTAGAGATTTGGGTACGGAGGAAAAGAGAGAGGGTTTTATTTTCTGAAGCTGCGTGAGTTCCCCGACACACCGGGGACACATGGT